TGCCATTGCTATCTACTCATTTTGCCAATGTTAGTGGTTTGGTTGCCATGCTGATCCTCCCGCTTCCATCCTAAACCAAAACAAGTATACATACTACTATGTGGTTGACAGTGTGCGTAAATAGAGCATCACACTGTAACCTTTTATGGTTATAAACCGTATTGAAATGACACTAAATGACATTTCATTTAGTTCTATTGGCAGCAGCACGGTGATGTAAACTGCTGTGGTAGGGAACAAGGCTTTTTGCATTGCCTCTGCATTGGGCAACACTACAGAGGCAAGGAAAAAAGCCTTGCCTCTGCTGTGAACGGGCCCCTAGGATATCACTTAGTTTATTTGAACTTACTCTGATGTCTGACGATGTCCCTGGGAGTTGGAGGCTAGGGGTCATCTGAAATCTGATAGTTGGTCACTTGGCAACTGCCTGACCTCATGCGGAAACCCCACATAGGGTTAAATTCACTAAGCCATAAAGATTGTTATGTTCAGTAATGGAAGTCAATGTGAGCAGCAATCGTGTCGTTAGAAATAAAGACCATTATGGCAAATAAGACAGGCTTTGCCGCCTAGAGAATTAGGTCTGTCTCCTTAGTGTCCATCCTGTCTTCCAGCTCCTAAGGTCAAGCAGTTGACAGGGAATAAAGCACCAAAACTCTCGGGGGCCCCTCATTTCTGACATTTAAGTTCACAAGTCATTCTCAAATATGCTGAATAAGTGGCTAAATATTTAATAGAACTGCAGAATTATAATCATTTTAAGAATAAATATTCAGACTCTTACATAAGCTTCAGTGATTCTTGTTGTCTTAATAGCCACAGAGATGGTCTCCTTGGACAAAGGAATGGTAGTTGTGGACGTTCAGCTAAGAAACCTAGTAACAACAAAGTGATACTAAATCAGAGAGGAGCACCAAAGAGGATCTGCTTTTAATTCACCACATATGTCTACAGTGGATATTTGATGTTCATATAAATTACAGTATTGATAATCAAATTCGGATACGGTTTAAAAAAATCCATCAGTCGGGCCATAAGCCTGTGTTGTTTGCAATATAACTGTAGAAAGACCTATAAGAAGGCTTTGTGATGTGGAATATGAAGCAATTAGATTGAAGTGTATATGTAGGCCTTGTCATCCCTACCAGTCTTATTACCTCTTCCTTAAGGCAGCTTTGTCAATACTTCTTGCCGCCTCCAAAGCAAGCTCCAACTGTTACAACTGTCATGGCATATATAGCTGTTATGGGTCGCCTGCAGTCATGTGACTGTACCTGCTTTATTTTGAGTGTCCAATCAATTTCTGTAGCTGGTCTCAGCTCAGGAACGCATGGCAACTGGATTCCTATTGGCTGACTGGTGCTGTCACCTCTATAGTTAATCAAACACCTCATACAAGTTCTACCCAGTACAGCCAGGACAGACAATTTTCTTGCATGCGGATACATTTTAGCCCTAGATCTTGGGTAATATACTCCCCCCTAGTGTTACAAAAATGGGGACAGGGCTTTCCAGTCTGAGACATCATCACACAATCCACTCAACAAAGGTGATCTAGGTTGATCACCAATGTCACCGTATGACAGCTTGGCATGATTTGGATATCGTACATATCTGAATATTCTGTTCTAATTTATAACTGTGCAGACTTATTTATTAAATGATTATTTTTGCAATACAAAACAAAAATCTGCCATCCTAAACAACACCCCAAATCAAACTTTACATTGCCCAATGATTTTGACCAAACCTTATTAATGATCTGACTGATCCTTTGGATGTATGCACAGCCAAGTCAGCCTCACCCTGTACCCTACACTCATTACTTTTTTTGAACTCTCCTCCAATAACACCTTTGGACGTAGCATGGCCAAGCCAGACTCATCCTTGGGCCCTACAGTCATTACCCATTGCTAACCTACTTACCCTTTGATTATGATCGTGTCCAGAGCATAGGCTGCTATGAAGAGATGGGGTTTTGAGGACTTGACACTAGTTTTACGGGTCCAGTCTTTCATCCCTAGTGTCCATAAATGCAACAATTTGAGGAACAAACAGGGCCATGCCTACCTTGAGCACTCAGGGAGGCATTGTGTGGGGTGGCACTGAGACTGGAGAGTCAACAAGACACAGTATTGCAGGATCACCAAAAACATTTTAAGGCCAGGTTGATCTCTGGCAGGTGTAACCATGGCAACCCATCCACAGTCCATCAAACAATAAGTAGACAAACAATGTTGGTTTGTGGGTGGGTTGCCACAGTAACAGGGACATCCACCAGTGATCGTACTGGCTCTTGAATGTTTCTGCCACATATGTAGCGTATTGTGGCTGGGTTGCCATGATAGCAGGAACACCCCCGGAGATCACACCAGCTTTTTAATGCCTTTCTGTTCTTGTGTTGTGGCTTAGGGGTGTTTTGCAATGATCACAGGAACACCCGCAGGAGATCACATCAACTTTTTAATGCCTTTCCCTTCTTGTGTGCTGGATTGTGGGTGGGTTGCCTAGGTTACAGGTACACCTGCAGGAGATCGCATCAGCTTTTTAATGCCTTTTCCTTTTTGTGTGGTGATTGTGGGTGGGTTTCCATGGTTACTGGAACACCCGCAAGAGATCACATCAGCTTTTTAACTCCTTTCCCTTCTTGTTTGGTAGCTTGTGGGTGGGTTTCCATGGTTACTGGAACACCCGCAGGAGATCACATCAGCTTTTTAACACCTTTCCCTTCTTGCTTGGTGGCTTGTGGGTGGGTTTCCATGGTTACTGGAACACCCGCAGGAGATCACATCAGCTTTTTAACTCCTTTCCCTTCTTGTTTGGTGGCTTGTGGGTGGGTTTCCATGGTTACTGGAACACCCGCAGGAGATCACATCAGCTTTTTAACACCTTTCCCTTCTTGTTTGGTGGCTTGTGGGTGGGTTTCCATGGTTACTGGAACACCCGCAGGAGATCACATCAGCTTTTTAACGCCTTTCCCTTCTTGTTTGAGGGATTGTGGGTGGGTTTCCATGGTTACTGGAACACCCGCAGGAGATCACACCAGCTTTCTAATGCCTTTCCCTTCTTGTTTGAGGGATTGTGAGTGGGTTGCCATGGTTACAGGGACATCTTCAGGAGATCACACCAGCTTTTTAAAGCCCTTCCCTTCTTGTGTGGTGGATTGTGGGTGGGTTGCCATGGTTATAGGGACACCCGTAGGAGATCACATCAGCTTTTTAATGCCTTTCCCTTCTTGTGTGGTGGATTGTGAGTGGGTTTCCATGGTTACAAGAACACCCGCAGGAGATCGCATCAGCTTTAAAATGCCTTTCCCTTCTTGTGTGGTGGATTGTGAGAGGCACCTGCCAGAAATCGCACCAAAACATACAAAAGTTAGTACAATCCCTGGACGGCATTTCTGTTACCATGGCAACCCACCCACAATCAACCAAACAAGATGGGAAAAGCAGTTCAGGATGGGATTACCCCGGGGGTCGGGGTTGTTGCCATCTCAAACAACAATATTCCTCGACTTGTTCTGGAGAACCAGCGATCACAAACCGCGATCCATCATCGATTAAATATTGCATGATGCAACAGAGATGGATAGATAGATACGTTCTCTCATTTATAAGTGTGGACAAATTATTTAAAAAGTTTATTTAATCAACTCCAAAAGAGATCAATAAATAGATCAAATGGAGGGTTTTTGGTTTGCATTTCCATTTCCATCGATTTAGTCATACCGGATGATCATATCAATATATGTGTGGCCACAATAAAAAACATCTTTTGCATATGTGTTTGTAATTAGAAATATTTCCGAACACACTCACTGGAGACTCCTTGCTGTCTCTCACATACTAAAAAAATACATTTTCACATTGTCTATTGTACCAAAAAGTTTTAAAAGCTGGCTGTACACTATACAATCAGATTGTTCAATTTCTGTCCAATCTCTTTTAGATTTACTATAATTATTTATTATTAGGACAAGTCTAATAATACATTGCATTTGTATCAAATTGCTGTGTAGTTGATGTTAGATCTAAAGCAGATTGTACAATCAGATAGTATAGTGTATGGTCGCTTTCACACAGCCACCAATCAAATCCACACTTGCTTTGTAAACCTGAAATTAATTGGTGAAACAGCAAGAAGAAGAAGTTACAGAGCAAAAGTGTCAGGAACTGACAGTGAACGTGTAGAGATCTGTGATAAAGTCTTACTTCAGAAAAAACTTTATTTTTTATTTACATTTTGTTTTAATTTGAGGGATTAGAAAAAAGGTTTTAGGTTTTTTTATGTCTGTGTCCACGCTGGGAAGATTTCATCTCTCTTCCTCAGTGGTCTCTAGGACATAAAGGGGAAGATGTACTAAAGGTGGGAATACACGATTAGAAAATCGACCGATCGGTCATCCGACGAGGTGTTTGTTCGTTTGTTGGTCGAAACTGTGGCCCAAATGAACCAATCTAAAAAAATAGTTTGTCAGGCAATACGTAGTGTTGACGTCTTCCGTACAAGTGGAAGTGATGCGGTGTGCGTGTGACCTTGTAGCCACGCCCTTCCGGCCAGAACGAGCGATATACACAACAATTACCAGCAATGAGTATAATATAGTTTGTTACATGACCTATATACATAAATAGTGATACATAAAATATAATATACAGAATTCTGGTTTCATTGTCTCATTAGGCCAATCTACTTTTAACATTTGGATTTTTCATTCGGGTTTAAGAAGATTCCTTGTACATAAACATCCGAGTCATCTTCTGTTTTTACTCATGCGTGATAGCACTTGTTAGATTTTTTTCCTACGACCGTCATACCACCGCATAGAAAATTGGAAGTTCATATGCGAAACGACAACATTTTTCACTGTTGTTCAACCGGATTTTTTCCTTCACAATATAGTTATCGGTTTAACCACCTTCTGCCCGCCATATAGTACAATGACGGGCGCAAGGTGGTTCTCTCGTTCTGATAGGATGTCATATGACGTCCTCCCATTCTCACCACGCAAATGCGAGGCTCAGGGCATGTGCGCAGTGTGGCGGCGATCGCCGGTGCGCTGTGTCCCTCAGACACAGCGGATCACGGAAAGAGATGAAGATGTCAGCTCGGTCATGTGATCAGCTGTGTCCAATCACAGATGATCACATGTAAACACGGAAATGCCGGTTATCGGCATTTCTCTCCTCTCAAGTTGTCACGCTGACAGCTCGAGAGGAGAGGAGAGCCGGTAATCGGCTTTCCGCGGAGGGGACATGTACACTGATCATCAGGGCACTGATGATCAGTGTGCCCTGATGATCAGTGTGGCCCCAAAAGTGCCACCTGCAAGTGTCCATCAGTGCCAGCAGTCAGTGCCCATCAGTGCCACATCAATGCCACATATCAGTGCATACCAGTGCACATCAATGCCACATATCAGTGCCCATCTGAGCTGCCCTTCAGTGTCACCCATCATGCCAGTCAGTGCCACCTATCAATGCCAATCAGTGCCACCTATCAGTGCTGCCAATCAGTGCCACCTATCAGTGCTGCCAATCAGTGCCACCTATCAGTGCGCATCAGTGCAGCCTATCAGTACCAGTCAGTGCAGCCTATCAGTGCCAGTCAGTGCTGCCTAACAGTGCCAGTCAGAGCCGCCTATCAGTGCCAGTCAGTGCTGCCTATCAGTGCCGCCTATCAGTGCCATATATCAGTGTCATGTATCACAGCTGCCTTTCAGTGCCCATCAGTGATGCCTGTCAATGCCCATCAGTGCAACCTACCAGTGCCTCCTCAGCAGTACCCATCAGTGCCACCTATCAGTGTCCATCAGTGCAGCCTATCAGTGCTCATCACTGCAGCCTCATTAGTGCACATCAGTGAAGGAGAAAAAAATCACTTAATAACAAAATTGTATAACAAAAACTAAGAAAAAACACATTTTTTTTTCAAAATTTTCAGTGCTTTTTGGTTTGTTTAAGAAAAAATAAAAAAATCCCAGAGGTGATTAAATACCACCAAAAGAAAGCTCTATCTGTCTCAAAAAAATGCTAAAAATTTCAAATTGGGGACAGTGTTGCATGACCACGCAATTTTCATTCAAAGTGCAACAGCGCTGAAAGCTGGAAATTGGGCCTGGGCAGGAAGGGGGTAAAAGTGCCCTGTAGGCAAGTGGTTAAACATTCTGTTCATCAACGAAGAGAAAATCATTCAATCGGTGGTTCCGCAAACTTTTTGTACGATTTTCTTATCGCGTGTACGGGGCATAAGACTGGTGCTCTCAGAGTCTAGTGAAGCTGTGCATGGTAGCCAATCGGCTTCTAACTTCAGCTTGGCACTGAAGGGAAGAATTTTACCAGAAACAGCCACCTACAGTTAATGGGATACCCACTGTTACATTTAGCCAATATGTTTTGTGCTGTATCCCCCCCCCCCAAAAAAAAAAAAAAAACTTAACGTTTGCAGGCCTTTGTGGAGCTTCATTATAGGCATTTATGTTGTGTTTTAACGTTTGGCAAACGTCTATCAAATGCCTCAAAAATGCGCATAGGGCATTTGGGGAACATTTGAGGAACGTTAAAAATGCTCCCCGGCGCCTGTCTAATGCCTGTCAAACACTATAGGGGTGTTTGGCAAGAGTTATAAATGACTTAAGTGTGAAGGAGCCCAAAGGATCAAACAGCCTTTTTACACAATGCGAGGATTAACCCCTTAGGTTCCACAGTGAGTATAACAAGCATGCTTTACTGCATATACAGACTGATTTTACTGTTGTGGGGTTAGTAACACTTTAAGCTTCAAAGTGCAACCTCTTTTAATTCCTATTGCTCTTTAGTCACTGAGTATTTATGTACTGTACCTGTTGGGCGTGTACTGTTCATGCTACCTGATTGCCTTCTGAGCTTGGCTATTCGGATAAAGGTCTAATACTGCAAGAGACTGTCCATGTGTCCTTCATGAAGTCACCCCCTTCTTTGCAGTTATCACCTATGATATGCTTATTCCAGGTCAGTTAGTGAAGGAAAGATAAAGACAGCTATGGAACATGCACCTTAGAAAGAAGTCAGCAATATCAGCTACTATATTTATGAGTTTATGTAAAAGATTAACAGGCGCATGGTGTGGCAGTCCATGTATGTTTGATGAGTTCCAAATGGGCAGGGGTGAAGGTAGTCCAGTAGGCACTAAGGGCAAGCTGCGTAGGAGCGAAGCATAACTCTGCAGAAGGTAAAACAAAGAAACACAGCGCCTCTAAGTGTGTACTGTGAAGGTATTTAATAAAAAGATAAGTAGTAACTCACATCTTAGAATTTAAAAACGGGCTCATGGGTAAGAGGGTGAGACGTCTGTAGCCAGATGTAGTTGTGTATCTGATCCAAAGAGGAGATCGATTGAGTCTGTCAGCAGGTGGTGCTGCTGTGCATGTGCAGCATGGATGGTAAACCTGGTGGAATCTCCAAGGTGTCTGCCAGCAGATGGTGCCGTGCATATACAGCATGGATGGTGGAGCTTGGCAGAGTCTCCAAGATGTCCAAAATCAGCACATGTGGCGTCTGACGCCATCAAAATGTGATGCATTTCTGAGCATGTACAGGACGAGATGAGTCCAGGCGTGCTCTTTAATCAGGCCTTTATATTGCTGAGTTTACAAGTCAAATTGTAAGCAGTTGCTTCCAAAGAGTTAAACGTTTTTCTTCTTTATTCATGCTCTGGGGTTACTCAGGTCAACTATGGTTATATGTACAAGCTAAATGTTACAATGTATCATGTTGCAACTGTTGTCCTGCTGGTGGATCTGAGAAGGAAGGGTTAACGCTGCTGGTCAGATTTTCTTGCTCTTTTCAGATTATTGTTCCCTGCAGATCACGTCATATAAATAGGGGCTCATTAGCCCCCTGAGGGAGACCTAGAGTCTCCTTGCCCAAGATGTTGCTGTTACTCTGTTGGTCTGTGCCCCCTTCTTGGGAGCCCAGTCAGGGTTCCCAATGGGGTCTGGAACCTGGGGTCTTTATGGACTTAAAGTGGAGTTCCACTCATCCTGTCAAAAAATAAAAGTCAGCATCTACAAAAACTGTAGCTGCTGACTTTTAAAAAAACAGCCACTTACCTGTCCCTCGGTCCCGTGGTATCCTCCGCAGCCCGTTTCACCTGCCCTCCTGGATTCCTGGAGGCGGCATCTTCAGTGTGGGCACCCAGCTGTGACTGCTTGCGGCTTCACAGCCGGCTACCCACTGCACATGCGCAAGTAGCGCCATGCTTCATAAATGGTCCTGTAATCTTCTGGGACCTGTCACGTGTCCCAAAAGACTACAGGGAGGGAGGACACCTTCCACTTCTGATCGCCTAGGTGATCAGACCGGAAGTGGGAGCGGGTACCTTTCAAATTTGGGTACCCACTCCCTCCCATCGCCCAAAGGTGCCAATCCGTAATGGGGAGCGGGGGAGCAGTCCTTAATGCGGAACTTTAAGCCCCGCTTTAAGAGAATGGTTACTGCAATACTGTCACGTGTCCCAGAAGACTACAGGGAGGTAAGGAGGGAGGACACCTTCCGTTTCCGATTGCCTAGGCAGTCTGACCGCAATTGGGAGTCGGTACCTGTCAAATTCGGGTACCCGATCCCCCCCGCCCCCTAAAGGTGCCAATCCTTAATGGGGAGCAGTCCTTAAAGCTGAACTTCCCCTTTTGGGTGGAGCTACGCTTTAAATCACCTGTTGCATGGACTTACTGCCTTTTGTGGATCTCTGCTAAATCACAGACTTTAACTGATTACTTACAGTGCTATCTCTTGTGGATTTACTTCCTAAATGGAATCTTGCCTTGAAAGGATTGCTTTTGTGGGCTTTGCTCCTTAACTCAGATATGACTACCTCATGGGGCACTACTTCAAGGGCACCTAGAGAGCTTTGTACAGGAATGTGTGTTGTACCAAAAATGGGGTTTACATCTGGGGACTAGGGAAGTTAGAGAAGATACAGTATACAGTCCAATTAGCAGAATGCTGTCCAGAGGAAGGCTATATTGCCATTGCTAAGGACTACTGTATTTGTATCACTAAAGCAGTCAACCAGCCAGGAGATGGGTGATATGACAAAGTTGATGAAAACCTTGTGAAGGAGTGTTATGTTTGGCCCCTTCACTAGTGGTCGGTTCCTCACATACTGGGGCTGACCCCGTGACACAGGGTACCTAGAGACCTAGCCTGGGGTCATAGGAGAGAGATGTAGAGGGGCACTGGGAAGCAGAACAAGCATGGATTTACAGAGAAATGTGTCTCTGTGTCCAACAGTAACATACGGGACATGTCAGTGGAAGTGAGGTGATGGGATTGCTGAGTTGGTGGAGACAGTACATGCTCTGCGGTGCCGGCTCAGAAATGCTGCACTCCTGGGGAGTGGTGTTCTTCAACAAATGTGTGTCTGAAGTGCTTAGTGTTAACAGTGTGAAGAAGTTTGGCCACGGATTGCAAAGAGTTAACTGTTCAAATTGCTGCTCGCTTCTAAAGCTGGCCATAGATGGAGTGATTTTCTTTCCTTCAACCATGGATCAGTAATGAAATATGAAACCCTCCTGCGGAGCCATTGTGTTCTCCCGGAGGGGAGAGCCATCCTCGCTAGGAGAACATAGTAATTAATGCTAGCAGCTATAATAGCTGCTAGCAGCAATCGCATGTAAAAGTAGATGAGCTGGTTATACCCAAGTTGATCGATCAATCAACTTGAGTACATTTAGCCTGCCCATATATGGTTTGAATCTTGGTCTGTCCCCACTGAACCAGCCAAGATTAAAACTGTCTATGGCCGGCTTAAGTCTGGAGTCCTGCCTTAGGCCTCGTTCACACCATACATGCAAGAAACGTGATGGAAACTGATTGAAGATTTTACTAAGACGTCAGTTTACATCACCTTTCACGCATGCTGCAATACGTTTTATAAACATTGCAGATTCTTGTGCAGAAAAAATCTGCACGTGATACTAGTTTTGTGATGTGAACAGGGCAACAATTGATTTAGTTGTGCCCTTGAGGAATGCGTGCAGAAAAACTGACGTCTCTGCACCACGGTGTGAACGAGCCTTTAATGTTGATTTCCTAGACCACAGCCCTTTCCAAGGTATAGGCATTCACAAATGCAGCTCCACAGTGTCCTCACTAGAGTTCCTTAAGTCCCACCAACACAAGTGCAAACTATGAGACAGTACCAAGGTAATATTCAGTCCAACAATTTCAGATTAATTGCTGAAATCAGCCAGGAGCAGGGTAGAATGAATGAATGATTCTGAAAATCACTTTGGAGTAATTTGGCTTTAATGACCAAGAAAACAGTTTGCAGTCTCACTCACTTTACCATTGTGAACTGGCTGAGGGCCAGATGGAAAGACTAAAAGCTCTGCTGGGGGGCCAGATGGAAAGACAAAAAGCTCTGCTGGGGGGCCAGATATAGCAGCGTGACACGTCTGCATGTATAGCAAAGATGGGATTGAGACATTCAAATACCTTCTGTGTAAGAAAGCTCTACTGTGCATTCCATCCTTTATTTCAGGTACAATAACCGGTTATTGTTT